TTCATTAATATAAGAGCAATGAGATAAGTTACTTATATTTTTTTGTAGTCTTTTATATAAACTAAATACATTTTATTTCGTTGTACATAAAGCTCTTGTTAATCTATTAACTGTCACATATGACTAGAGATGTACTTTTTCATAATCTATGTCGGCAATTACAAAACTTCAATAATTAACTGATTACTCATTGAGATGTATAAAAAAAATTAATTATTGAAAAACTCTAGAGATTATCTTTTATTTAATTAGTGACCTAGATGAATAAATCTTTGTTTTTAATCAAAAATAATTTGCGTCAGATGTTGATGATAAATATGACAGTTTCTTTTTTCTTTTTTACTTAATCTTCAATATTTTTTTTAATTATTTCATTCCAAACTCTTATTCATTCAAGAAATCAGATATTTAATTCAAATAGAGTAAACTATCTTACAAAGATGTTATTCTCTAAAAGATACTGGTGATTATTAAGGCATCAGCATTTATGTCTTCTACGATTCTTAATTTCGCTACAAAATATTCACTTTACAGCGGTTCTATTATATGTTCATTAGGAATTGTAGGTAATGTAATAAATATTCTTGTTTTTACTCAATTAAAAGTCTTTCGAGACAATCGATGTGCTTTCTATTTAACTATTGAATCGATTTTTAATTTTCTCTATATGTTGTTTGGTATTTCCGTCAATATTTTAATATCAATATATGGAGATGATGAAACAGGACGTTCACTTATCTGGTGTAAACTTAGATATATCATTGCTCAAATACTTACAAGTTGTTCATTTACTATGGTATGTTGTACTGCAGCTGATGAATACTTTTCCACAAATTACCGTTGTAATTTAAGACAAACATGTACATTGAAATTAGCTCGATATCTTACGTTTATATTGATTTTTATTTGGACTTGTCATAGTATTATATTTGGTTACTTTTCCAATATTATGCCATCAATTGGGTGTACTATATCAAATGAAAACTATCGACAATATGCAACATTTTTCTTCTATCCAGTTTTAGGTGGTGTTTTACCTATTGTAATCTCATCATTTTTTAGTATGTTAGCTTATCGTAATGTTCGTCGATTGGTTCGTCGACAAATACCTATTATTCGTCGTCGATTAGATCGACAAATAACAGCAATGGTTCTGTTACGTATCGTTGTCTTTATTTGTTTGACAGCACCGTCTATTATTTATCGTATCTATGCAATAAATACACCTGTTTTACGCAATACATCAGCACAATATGCCATCGTTAGATTATTACAAATAATCGCTTTCTCTCTTCTTAATTTGAATCATATGGTATAGTTATTTTCTTATTGAATTTATTTTTTATATAATATTTTTATTTATTATAGAGTAGTTTCTATGTTTTTATCATGTCATCATCACGTTTTCGCCATCAAGTAAAATATTTTTTGATAAAAAAATGTTGGAAACATATTCGTTGTTGTCATACGGAGAATCTAATTTCACCCGGAAATGCGCAAATATTTAATTCAAATATAGAACATGAACAAAATAATTAATTATATTTATAAAAAAGCACACATATTCTTTTTCACTTTATTGATTATACGATCAGATCGTTTGTCAAAATAATCTTTCATTACAAAAATAATGATGAATAAGCTATTCTTTTGAACTATCAACGATGAGAAAACATTAAAAAAAACGGTATCTAAGATAATTGTGTTTCAAGTTGTTGCTATTCTGGTTTTGATTCTATGTGTTAATATAGGTTAGATTAGTACGGATGAATAAATTCATTTTTAATTCAAATCCAACAAACCGTCAAATTTTCTTTTGTGATCTTTTTCATTTATTTAATTTTCGGAATTGAGCTATTCAACAAAAGTTGTTCTATCGTTAAGAATGATACTTCAAAGTACAAAAAATAATCTTCATCCTATTATTAAAACATCTGTCTTTGCTGATTACATGAACTTTATCGCAATCTAAGTAGTCAATCCATACAAACAATTCTAGATAAATCTAAGCGTATGAAAAGTATTTCAAGTGATTTCATTGATTCTATTCAATTAAGTGTATAGACTTTAGAATAAATATTCTACGTACGGGAATTAACTATAAAACGAACGGAGATAAATATCATCTCCGATAGTAATACAAATAATAACATAAAATAGAAAAAGATGTTTTTTTTGATCTGTAAAACATAATAATGGAAGTAATTATTAAAATATACGACTTGACTTTCCGCCAAGTAATTTTTTGTTAATTTTTGTAGTAATTTTTAATGCTTAGTCAACTGAAGAACTCTCAGCCATAGTTGAATTTATTTACATGAATAAATCTTTTTAGATAAAGAGAGATCAGAGAAAAGTGTTCTCGTCTGTTCGCAATGATACTAACATAAGAAATAATAATAGTTACCATTGCACACAGGTGTATTTAAGAATGATACGTCCTTTTTTTTATATCGCAGAGCACTTCATGTAGTCGTTTTTTCAAGTTGATACTAGAAAATACTGTAGTATTTCTTTTCATCATAATATTGAGTAGTGACTGATTCAAATACATAATGTATATAGATTTAGCAAATATAGAAGTAAAAATTTATATTCCAGTAAAATCCCTTAGAAATTTTAGTGTATGATATAAATATTGATTTATGACTATAAACATTGTATACAATTGTTTTTCTATACAATTAAATAATTCGATAGAATGTTTAGTTGACATAAAAGCTAAAGAAACTTGTAAATAGTCAACGGACAATATTTTCTTATTTGAGAACATAAGTTAAATAAGTAAAAGCAAATGAATCACTCATAATAATTGGAAGTTTGAAGCGGAAAACATGATGTTGTATAAATATAGGTGTTGTCAAGAAATCCGGAACAACAAATCTGAAGACATAAATTTATCTTCATGGGAAAGGGGATGTGGGTGTGGATGAGATTAAAGACAAGATACGCTCCTTTAGTCAAACCCTACACTCAAATTTTTGTTTTTCTCAATTTTATTTTTTCCGGATTTACTTTTCTCCAGTTTTCTTATTTTCTTGATTCTTTGTCTTTCTCAGAAATGTTCTAAGTAATTCCTGAAACAGATTAAAATCTATTTTCGTTGTACTAAATCTAAATGTTGTCTAGAAGAATATGTCAATTTGTTAATAGTTCTATATTTCAACCAGCCAATAGAATAAAAAAACACTGTTTTTTTTTATTTTATATCTCATTAAAAAAAGCAACCATAATACAAAAACCATTGAACGATACACCAACTTTTATTTTTAATGATACATTAGTAGTTTTCAATGTCGGCTCAACTACTTGATGTTGCTTCAAAATATTCACTCTACAGCGGTTCTATTATATGTTCATTAGGCATTGTCGGTAATTTAATAAATATTCTTGTTTTTACTCAATTAAAACTTTTTCGGAACAATCGATGTGCTTTTTATTTAACTGTGGAATCTATTTCCAACATTTTTTATCTCCTCTACTCAATTACTATAAGTATTTTAATATCAATATATGGAGATGATGGGACAGGACGGTTTCTTATCTGGTGTAAACTTAGATATATCATTGCTCAAACATTTGCTCTCACTACATTTACTATGATATGTTGTACTACTGTTGATGAATATTTTTCGACGAATTATCTTTATAATCTAAGATATATGTGTACACTGAAATTAGCTCGATATCTTGCATTTGTTTTTATTTGTATTTGGACTTGTCATAGTGTTATACTTGGCCTCTTTTTCAATATTGTACCATCTGGTGGATGTGCTATATCAAATCAAATCTATTTCCAATATACAACATACTTTACATATCCAGTTTTAACTGGTCTTTTACCAATCGTAATTTCATTATTGTTCAGTTTATTAGCTTATCAAAATGTTCGTCGAATAGTTCGTCGACAATTACCTATTGTTCGTCGTCGATTAGATCGACAAATAACAGCAATGTGTTTTATACGTGTCATAGCTTATGGTTGTCTGGCAACACCTTATGTTAGTTATCGAGTCTATGCACTTAATTATCCTATTTCACGAAGTGAACCATTAAAATTTGCAATCGGGCAATTAGTTCAAGTTATTTTTACCTCTCTTGCTTCTTTAAACTTTGCGGTAAATATAACCTTTTTTCATGTTCACATTTATAATCATTTTTATTTATGTTATAGATCAGTTTTTATCTTTTTATTATATCATCATCACATTTTCGTCACCAAGTAAAATTTGTGTTAGTAAAAAAATGTTGGAACCGATGGAAATATTTATGTTGTTTTGGAAATATTCAAATTAATCCGGAAAATATAGAACCAAACAATTCGAATATAGAACCTGAAGATATTAATTAATCATGTTTTGAATAAATAAATTATAACATGAATATTTTCGATATGCTTACCCACTATGTAAATATAATGTATCGAAATAAAAAATACTTCATCTCAGCCGTATTTATGTTACTTTCTTATATTTTTACAGACGTTCTTTTCAAATTTAACTCACTTATTATACAGTATTGCACGCGTGTTTCAAAACTCCGTGAGAAAAGTAAATTCGTATAATTTCTTTACCTATGGAAACGACTCAAATACAAAAAATACATTTTTTTGATCGTTTGGATTTTTTGACGTTCCAAGCTTTGAAATTTCAGTATTGCTTTACAGTTATTTTCTTAGATATTATGATATAAAGAGGCTTAGCATAAAAACTAGCCAATACGTCACAAACATTTATTAATAAAATACCAAATTACCTAATCATCATAAACCTTTACTTGCTAAATAAAATACATTTTGTTTTGATAGTGAATCATTTAAATATTTAGATGTCATTCGATCTGAACAAAAATCTGCACTTCATGATTAAGAAAGATCAGACTTCGTAACAGTTGAAAAATGTCGGTTGAAGAATCTATTCGTATGCTTATATATATTCAATCTCATCTATTATATCTTATGAATAAATATCGTTCGATTAAACATGCTCAAATGATGATCTTTTTGTTAGTTAAACCTATACTTGAAATAGTACGTAATATCATAAGAAACTTAACATTAGAAGATGTACAACATATAGAATATACCATCGAAATGGAAGTAAAACCATTATCATGTGCATCAAGTTTATGTGCAGCTGCTACATATGATCTTACAAAGTTTGGTGATGTCTTGATCTTAGCAATCACGACCAATAAATAGTGCATATTAGATAATTGTCCTATATGTGTCTGTGTTGTAAATGAAGATTTGCCTCTTTTTTATGAACTATAATATCGATTCAGTAATAAAAATATCTAGTTTTCTTCAAAGAAGGAAAAGATAAAAGATCAAATTTCTCTTTAATAAATTAAATACAATTCAGTATTATTTTAATATAGTACTACAAATAATAACATAAAATAGAGAAAGATGATTTCGTGATCTATAAAATATAGTAATGGAAGTTATTATAAAAACATCTGACTTTGTTTTTGTTCAAATTAGTTTTTTAATTAAACTATTTTAATCACTTTTTTTATGCTTAGTCGATTGAAGAAGTTTTAGTGAAACTTGAATTTATTTACTTGAATAAATCTATTCGGACAAACAAAGAATATAGAGGATCTTTTCATATACAATAACTAATTATTTTAAAAGACGTTTGTACTCATACTAATACAGATTTTTCCAGCAATCATCATAAGTTTTAGAATTGATTTCGGGTAATATCAATAATAAATTTGTTCTTAACTATCTCTTTTAAATGATGATTATATTTTGCTATTAACAGAGAGATGGGAGAAAAGCATTCTCGTCTGTTCTCAACGATATTAACATAAGAAATAATAATAAATACTATTATATACAAATGTTCTTGAAAACGATAATTCTTTTTTTTATATCATAGAGCAATTCTTGTCGTCGTTTTTTCAAGTTGATACTAGAAAATGCTGTAGTACTTCTTTTCATAATATTAAATAGTGACTGATTGAAATACGTAATGTATATAGATTTAGCAAATATAAAAGAGAGAATTTATGTTTAGTTATCAAAACGGTTTTTGAAATCACATAAAAACTTCGGTATATGATATAAATATTGATTTATGACAATATGTAATGTATATAATTGTTTTTCTTTACAATTAAAGAATTTAATAGAATAATTGATTGAAATAAAAACTCAAGAAAATTAGGAATAGTTAACTAATAATATTTTTTATCAAATTGTTTGTATAAATTTATATGATCAGATATTTATCTTCTCCTTTTTTACAGAAATTTTTTAAATAATTTCTAAAACAAATTAAAATCTATTTCCTGTAGAGATTATTTTCGCTCTACTAAATCTAAATGTTGTTTCGAAGAATATGTCAATTTATTAATAGTTCTATATTTAAACCAACCAACAGAATAAAAACAAACACTATTTTTTCTATTTTACATGTCATTATAATGTTAAAATAACAAGCATAATAGAAAAAACTATTGAAAGATTTACAAACTCTTATTCGTAACAATACATTAGTATAGTTCTCAATGTCCGCACAAATACTTACTGCTGCCTCAAAATATCAACTTTATAGTACTACTGTTATGTGTCCATTAGGAGTTGTCGGTAATGTATTAAATATTCTTGTTTTTACTCAACTAAAACTTTTTCGAGACAACCGATGTGCCTTTTATTTAACTGTGGAATCTATTTTCAACATTTTTTATCTCTTGTTCTCGCTCACCATATATATTTTAATATCAGTATATGGAAATGATGGCACAGGACGGTTTCTTATCTGGTGTAGACTTAATCATATCATTTCTCAAACATTTACTCTCACCCCATTCACTATGATATGTTGTACTACTGTTGATGAATACTTTTCCACAAATTATCTTTACAATCTGAGATATATATGTACATTAAAATTATCTCGATATCTTACATTTGTTTTTATTTGTATTTGGCTCATTCATAGTATTATATTTGGCCTTTTTTTCAATATTGTACCATCAGTTGGTTGTAAAATATCAAATGAAGTCTATTTGCAATATACAACTTACTTTACATATCTAGTTTTGACTGGCCCTTTACCACTTGTAATCTCATTGCTATTCGGTTTATTAGCTTATCAAAATGTTCGTCGATTAGTTCGTCGACAAATACCTGTTGCTCGTCGTCGATTAGATCGACAAATAACTGCAATGTGTTTTATACGTGTTATAGCTTTTGTTTGTTTGGGAACACCTTATTTTTGGAGTCGAATATATGTACTTATCCATCCTATTTCACGAAGTGAATCATTAGAATTTGCAACGTGGGAGTTAGTTCAAGTTATTTTTGCGTCTTTTGCATCTCTTAACTTTGCGGTAAACTTAAATTCTTCTCATAATCATATTTATAATGATTTTTATTTATGTTATAGATCAGTTTTTATCTTTTTATTATATCATCATCACACTTTCGTCATCAAGTAAAATCTGTATTAGTAAAAAAATGTTGGAAACGATTGAAATATTTATGTTGCTTTGGTAATATTCAAATTAGTCCGGAAAATATAGAACAAAATAATTTAAATATAGAACTTGAAGAAATTCACTAACCATACACTAAATAAATAAATACATTTTTTTTTCTTCTATTTTAAAAATTACATTAAACTGTACAAATATATTATGTTCAATAAAGTATAAGTATCTGAAAAGTATTCATGTTATATATTTAAATTTAATTCCTATGCATTATATGATATTGATTAGCATACAGGGTGGACTGGAAAGGACGTCTCAATGAAAAATATCAATATCTCTGCTAGATGTCAATCCAAAGAGCTGAAACTTTTATCAGTGATATAGACTTACTTGAAGTTCTTTTTCGTAAGAACAAAAATCGCAATATCACTATTTCTATCTAATAGGATCAAATCAGTAAGGATTTTTAACCTGTTATTGGTTCAACAAAACCTATTGAAAATACTCCTAGTGTAATTAATCTTTTATTCAACAGGATAAAAATAACAATCATTCTTATTCTATTGAGTAAAAAATCTATCAGGTCCGCTCGTCATAGGCCATGCAGACTAACTTGTGGTATTGTTTGAATTTTGATAAAATTTTCATCTTTGGTCAAAGAATTTAATTATTGATAACTATAGTTAAGTGTCAAAGACCGAAATAAGTCAAAAAAAAATTAAAATCTACTCCGCATGACTCGATTTCAGTCTTCGATGCTGAATCTACTTATATCAAAAGTAGACTTTGTTTCAAAACATGAATTTTTTCGGTATGCTTACTCTCTATGTAAACATAATGTATCGAAATAAAAAATACGTCATCTCAGTCGTATTTATCTTACTTTCTTATATTTTTACAGAGGTTCTTTTCAAATTTAACTCACCTATTATACAGTATTGCACGGGTGTTTCAAAACTCCGTGAAAAAAGTAAATTCGTATAATTTCTTTTCTTATGAAAATGACTCAAATACTTTTATCTCATTTAATAAATATCAGCACGACGCTTTTATTCATACAAATAAACTTCGTAAACGAGGTTAGAACATATGACGTTTGACTGAAACACAGGAAATACATTTTTTTGATCGTTTACATTTTTCCATGTTCCAAGCTTTGAATTGTCAGTGTTGTTTTCCAGTTATTTTCTTAGATATTATGATATAAAGAGGCTTAGCATAAAAACTCGCCAATATGTCACAAGAATTTATTAATAAAATACCAAACTACCTAATCATCATAAACCTCTACTTGCTAAATAAAATACATTTTGTTTTCATAGTGAATCATTTAGATATTTAGCTGTCATTCGATCTCGACAAAAATCTGCACTTCATAATATAGAAAGATCAGATATTATAAACACAGCTGGCAAATCTCGGTTGATGAATCTATTTCTATACTTACATATATTCAATCTCGTCCATTATATTATATTTCAGAGAACGAAAAGATAAAAGATCGATTTTTTTCTTGAATTAATTAAATACAATTGAATATTCTTTTAATACAGTAATCAGCGTTGTCATCTCTTCTGCTTTTGGCAGAAAAATTCTGCTTTTTACATATTTTTATCTTTTATATTTTCAGTGAAAACTCTCTATATTTTAACCGATTATTTTGTCAAAATAATTATTTAACACAAAATCAGATTGTAAGATCTGGTTAACTCTGGATATTATTACTTTCTCTTACTCTTTCGCCAAATTTTAAAAAACTCTTATGTTTTTTATTTTCATTACCTTGCAGTAATACTTATATTGAATATGTATTTTCATAAATGTAATATTTAGTAAATGACAATCAGAACCGTATGACCACAGAATTAGTCTCAGCTGATTTAAAAATATGTTTGAATGCTACTTTGAAATGTGTTGATATGTACAAGTATATATTATCGAACCAGGATATATTGAAAGCTATTAGGTCAGATGAAAAATATACGTTTAAAAATATGTTCAAAAAATGTATTTATCTCTGTTTGATTTTGTGCGCTAGAATATAAAATATAATGCCAAACGTTCTTATTATTTTATTATGACAGGGCTTAAAGCATAGTTTGATATTAAAAAACACTTTCCGTTTTTTTCTGCTTTTTTTTCAATTAAAATCTTGTCTTTTTCTGCTTTTCGAAAAGCAACAGGTGGCAACACTCACATTAATACAAATAATAATAATATAAAATAGAAAAAGATGGTTTCCAGATCTGTAAAATACAGTTACCGAAATGATTTTAAGAGCATTCGACTCTGTTTTCCTTCAAGGTACTTTTTTGATGAAACGACTTTAATTATTTTTTTTTTATTCTTAGTCGACTAAAGAACTCTCAGTAAAACTTGAATTTATTTACTTGAATAAATTTTTTCAGACAAGCAAAGAATATAGAAGATCTTTTCATATAAAATAACTAATTATTTTCAAAGTTTGTACTCATATTATTACACATTTCTCCAGCAATCATCATAAGTTTTAGGATTGATTTCGGGTAATATCAATAATAAATTTGTTCTTAAGTATTTCTTTTAAATGATGATTATATTTTGCTATTAACAGAGAGATGGGAGAAAAGTATTCTCGTCTGTTCTCAACGAGATTAATATAAGCATTAATAATAAATACCATTACATATAGGTGTTTTCAAGAATGACAAGTCTTTTATTTATATCATAAAGCAATTCTTGTCGTCGTTTTTTCAAGTTGATACTAGAAAATGCTGTAGTACTTCTTTTCATAATATTAAATAGTGACTTATTCAAACACATAATGCATATAGATTTAGCAAATATAGAAGTAAAAATTTATGTTCCAGTAAAATCCCATAAAAACTTCAGTATATGATATAAATATCGTATATAATACAACATTATATACTCTAGATAGAATTGTTTTTCTATACAGTTAAAAAATTCAATAGAATGCTTGGTAATATCGCAAAATTTAGAAGAAACAAATCTAGAAACGATATATCTAGAAATATACACCGATGCAGATAAAGCAAAATCAGGCCGACTTTTTGCTATTCAGCTTTCGCTATGACTTCAATCAATCGTGGCATTACTATTTAACTAAATTAACGGATGATAGTGTGTCGTCTCTAGAGCATCTCCTTAACAACTACTCTAGTAATATTGTAAAAAAAAGAACATCGTATGTCACATTAATAGACCGACGACGCATTGATGTGGATGTCCCTTGATGATGTCAATAGAACATCTAAACTCAAACACACCCATAGTCACATTTCTTTCCTCGCGTTTGATACTTTTTCTGCTTTCTCTTTTTTTACGAAATAAAAATAAATCTATTTTTTGAAAATTTTCGACTTTCTCTCGTATTTTTTAAAACTTTTTCTTCTAGATTTTGCAACATATTCGAATATTTACCCGAAATAAAAACTCAAGAAAATTGTGACTGGTTAACTCAAAATATTTTTTTATCTAATAGCATATTATATGAAGTTGTTTCTATCAATTTATATGATTAGATATTTATCTTCTCCTTTTTTTTCAGAAATTTTCTAATTAACTCATAAAACACAATAAAATCTATTTTCTCCAGAGATTATTCTCGCTTTACTGAATTTAAATGTTCCCTAGAAGAACATACCAATTTGTTAATAGTTCTATATTTAAACCGACCAACCAACAGAATGAAAAGAAACACTATTCTTTCTATTTTATATCTCATTAAAATGTTAAAATAACAAGCATAATAGAAAAAACTATTGAACGATATACAAGCTTTCATTTGCAACAATATTTTAGTATAGTTCTCAATGTCCCCACAAATACTTGCTGTTGCTGCAAAATATTCACTTTACAGTGGCACTATTATATGTTTATTAGGAATAGTCGGTAATGCAATAAATGTTCTTGTTTTTACTCAACTAAAACCTTTTCGAAACAATCGATGTGCTTTTTATTTAACTGTGGAATCCATTTCCAACATTTTTTATCTCTTATTCTCACTTACCATATATATATTAATATCAATGTATGGAAATGATGGAACAGGAAGTTCACTCACCTGGTGTAAACTTAGATATACCGTTGCTCAAACATTTGTTCTCATCACATTCACTATGAGATGTTGTACTGCAGCTGATGAATACTTTTCAACAAATTATCTTTACAATATAAGATATATGTGTACATTAAAATTATCTCGATATCTTACATTTGTATTTATTTGTATATGGATCACTCATGGTGTTATACAAACTTTCTTTTACAATATTATGCCATCTCTTGGATGTAAAATATCAAATGAAATGTATATACGATATGCAACATACTTTACATATCCAGTTTTGACTGGTGTTTTACCAATTGTAATCTCATTGTTGTTCAGTTTATTTGCTTATCAAAATGTTCGTCGATTGGTTCGCCGACAAATACCTGTTGCTCGTCGTCGATTAGATCGACAAATAACAGCAATGTGTTTTGTACATGTTATAGCTTATGGTTGTTTGGCAACACCTTATTTTTGTTATCGAATGTATGCTGTTAATAATCCTGTTTCACGAGATAAACCATTAGAATTTGCAAATAGACAATTAGTACAAGTTATTTTTGCGTCTACTGCATCTCTCAACTTTGCGGTAAACTTTAACTTTTTTCATATTCACATTTGTAATCGGTTTTATTTTTGTTATAGATAAGTTTTTATCTTTTTATTATATCGTCATCACGTTTCCGTCGTCAAGTAAAATTTGTACTAGTAAAAAAATGTTGGAAACGATGGAAATGTTTATGTGGCTTTGAAAACATTCGAACTACTGCGGAAAATATAGAATTAAACAATTTTAATATGGAACTTGAAGAAATGACTAACCTTACTTCGCATCAATAAATAAATTTTTTCCTCTCTTATTTTAAAAATTACACTAAACTGTATAATTATGTCATCTTTAATAAAATATAAGTCTCTGAAAAGTATCCATATTATATATCTAAATTTAATTCGCATGCATTGCATGATAATGATTAGCATAAGATATTTCTTGTCTTTCGAAATTAATGTGAAATGCAAAATCATCAGTATGCATTTTGCTGTAAAGGTATCAGGATAGAAAAGAATAACGCATATAAAATAATAATAATTTCACTTTATTTATAATGTATATTATTGATGTAATATGACATTGATGAAACAGAAAAGAACATATAGTCTACGACTATTGTTGAATTTTATAAATAAGAAATGATAATGCATTATACTTTTCTGCTATAATAATTTATTTTAAGCGTGTAAGTGTAATGTATCAATCTACATTTTAAAAATATATTTAGAATGTCGGAAATATCTTTTATTCAATTATAAGCTTTTTATATGAATGTTAAAAAAATCTAGTGATGAAAAGTAACTTTTTTGGGCGATTATTTGTATCAAAAAAAATGATCGCCCACTTTTAAACCTCAATATACAAATTATTTCTATTTATATATCATCGTGTTATTGACTTTATTAAATATAAAATAGATCGATTGATACTAAAACGAAGTCAAATTGTTTGGTTAGAAAATTCAATAGGATTTAGTTTAGATAATCAACGTTTATCAATGGATTTGTTAATTATCTAGCATTTCAATCATTTGATGAAGCAGAAAATGGTGAACCTATCGTATTAATTCCTGTTTCATTTCTTATTTCTTATGGTGATGAATTTGAAGAGAAAAAAAATTGAATTTAGTCAATTTGATTCAAACGACAATCAAAATTATTCAGGACAATGCGTTAATCAACATTGTAAATCATATATATTCAATCTTGTCCATTCTATTTTATAAATAAGAATCATTCAATTAAACACGCTTAAATGATGATCTTTTTGTTAGTTAAATATATACTTGAAACAATACATAATATTATAAGAAATTTAACATTAGAAGGTATGGGACATATAGATTATACCGTTGAGATGAAAGCAAAAGCTATGTTACATCTAACAAGTTTATGTGCAGCTGCTACATATGATATTACAGAGATTGGTGACGTCTAGATCTTGGAAGAGTCAAAAAATAAACAGTGCATATTAGATAATTATCCTATATGTACCTTTGATTCGAATGTAGATCTGCCTCTCTTTTAGGAACTAAACTATCGATTCAGTAATAGAAAAAGTATCCAATTTTCTTCAGACATATAGAAAAGATAAAAGCTCGATTTTTCTTTTCAATTAATTAAATACATTTCAATATTGTTTTACTAAGTAATACAAATAATAATAGAAAATAGAAAAAGATGATTTCTTGATCTACAAAATATAGTAATAGAACTCAGCCCGAAACGAGGTGAGAAGTGATACGTCGACTTTTAACGACATCTGTTTTGAACCCAAGCAAAAACGACAAAAATTATTTATGGAATGTTTGATGAATCATAATATACAAGCAAAAAGAAAGAAATTGAAGCAAACAAAAGATGAAGTTGAAAGATCAGGGCAATGTAGTTCTTGATCCATTTCATTTTCGAAAATAAAACTAATGTATTTTTCTATGTTTATCTCGTCTAGCTAAGAGATATTTTTCTATTACATGTAGTTGTGCAGCAGCGGAACGAAAATTTAGTGCTGTAAGACAGATTGTCTCACAACGTGAGCCACAATCAAACCATCAACAGTTAATAATATATTATTTATACGATCAATTGAAAAAACAAAAACAGAATAAAGATGCCAACTGTGTAAAACATTCTTTACTAACTTTTTTTCTGTTACTAATATTTCTCGCCGGCTTATTAGCAAATAAGATTGTGTTAAAGAAATTAATTAAAAGTCTAATGCATACACATTGCAAATATCATAAAACTAGATTAAATTTTGAATAAAGGCGATACTCTGAGAATCAGTGTCTATATCATCTAAAAAAGACCGAGGCGAAACAGACTTTAAAAAAATAATCACGTGGCAATGCGAAGCGAAGAAAGGTGAGATAGTAAAATATTGCCTCGTTTCGCTCTCTGTAACGGATGTTATTATAAGAACGTTGGACTTTGTTTTTCTTCAAGTCACTTTTTTTTATGCGTAGTCAAATAAAGAACTCTCAACCAAAGTTGAATTTGTTTACTTGAATAAATCTTTACAGATAAACAAAGAATATAGAAGATCTTTTCACATACAATAACTAATTATCTTAAAAGAAGTTTGAACTCATATTCATACACATTTCTCCAGCAATCATCATAAGTTTCAGAATTGATTTAGCGTGATATCAATAATAAATTTATTGTTAAGTATCCCTTTTAAATGATGAATGTATTTTGCTACTAATAGAGAATAGATGAAATAAACAAAGAACATTGTATACCGATGTTCTTGAGAATGATAATTCTTTCTTTTTTATATAATAGAGCAGTTCTTGTCGTCGTTTTTCCCAATGAATACTGAAAAATGCTGTAGTATTTCTTTTCATAATATTGAGTAGTGACCTATTCAAATAAATAATGTATAAAGACTTAGCAAATATTAAAACGCTTTTTGAAATCGCATAAAAACTTCAGTATATGATATAAATATTGATTTATGACAATATGCAATGTATATAATTGTTTTTCTATACAATTAAAGAATTTAATAGAATGTTTGGTTGAAATAGAAACTCAAGAGAATGAGCCATATTCACAATTCACTCATAAGCCACCAGACAGCAAAAGTGTACCTTGAGTGAGAGGGACAGACAGAGAGAAATAATATATTATTATACGCGGCTTATCTCTCTTTATCTTTTTCTTCGACTGTAGCGAAAAAGCTGCTTATGATTGACACATAATATCGTCATTCTCTTTGATCTATTCTCTTCCTTTCTAATCCATGAACATAAACAAACTTGTCGCAGAAAATATGAAATAATCACGATTTATCATATCATTCTAATCGATAAGTCTCTAGTCAACTACGACTGGAAGTAGATTTATCATTATTAACAAATTCAAACATACTAAAGCGTTAATCACATTCTTATTTGTTACAGACATAGCTCAAAAACTCCTCTAATAAGTAAACAACATTTACAGTAAAAAAGTAGATATGAATCGTAATCATTTTAAGTAAAGAAACCAGTTAGTAATTTCCTTTTTACATAATTGAGAAAATAAAAATGATCATTTTCATATTTTTTGCAACAAGTTTCTTTATGCTCGTCGATTCGAAAAGGAAGAGAATAGATCAAAGATAATAGAAGATAAAAAGAGAACGATGATATTATGTGTCAATCATAAGCAGCTTCTTCGCTACAGTCGAAGAAAAAGATAAAGAGAGATCAGGCGCGTATAGTAATATATTATCTCTCTCTCTCTCTCTTAAGGTACATTTTTGCTGTAGGGTAGCTTATAAACGAGTTGTGAACATGGCTTATTGCGACTAGGGGTGAGAGTTTATTGCTATTATTATAAATAACAAAATTTTTTTTTGTTATTTGTTATAAATAACAGATAAATAACAAATAACTCTTATTTTTGAGAAATATCTTTTCTCACCTTATCGTATGTTTTAATTGAGTCCGTTATGTAAAATTATATTTTGAAGAGATTTTCTATATCTCTACTACTGATTTAGATAGTTCAATCAAGATATAAAGCTATAGCTGAATTCTCAGAAAAAAAAGTTATTTGTTATTTATCTGTTATTTATAACAATAGCAAAAAAAGTTATTATTATAAATAACAGTAATAAAAAAAAGCTATTGTTATTTATGACAAATAACAAAAATTGTTATTGTTATTTGTAGCAACGAGATAACAATAACTTCTCACCCCGGATTGTGACTAGTTAACTCATAATATTTTTTTTATCTAATAGCATATTAGATGAAATTGTTTCTATCAATTTATATAATTAGATATTTATCTTGTTTTTTTTCAGAAACTTTCTAAGTCACTCATAAAACACAATAAAATCTATTTTCTCCAGAGATTATTCTCGCTTTACTGAATTTAAATGTTACCTACAAGAATATGTTAGTTTATTAATAGTTCTATATTTAAACCAACCAACAGAATGAAAAGAAATACTATTCTTTCTATTTTACATGTCATTATAATGTTTAAATAGCAAGCATAATAGAAAAGACATTGAACGATACACAAGCTTTAGTTTATAATGATACATTAGCATAGCTGTCAATGTCCGCACAAATATTTGATCTTACTGCAAAATATTCACTTTACAGTGGCACTATTATATGTTCATTAGGAATAGTCGGTAATGTATTAAATATTCTCGTTTTTACTCAACTAAAACTTTTTCGGAACAATCGATGTGCTTTTTATTTAACTGTGGAATCCATTTCCAACATTTTTTATCTCTTATTCTCACTCACCATATATATTTTAATATCACTATATAGAGATGATGAAACAGAACGTTTTCTTATCTGGTGTAAACTTAGATACACCATTGCTCAAACATTTGTTCTCATCACATTCACTATGAGATGTTGTACTGCAGCTGATGAATACTTTTCGACAAATTATCTTTACAATATAAGATATATATGTACATTGAAATTATCTCGATATCTGGCATTTGTATTTATTTGTATTTGGATCACTCATAGTATTATACAAACTTTCTTTTACAATATTGTGCCATCTCTTGGATGTGCAATAGCAAATGATATCTATTTACGATATGCAACATACTTTACATATCCAGTTTTGACTGGTCTCTTGCCAATTGTAATTTCATTGTTGTTTAGTTTATTCGCGTATCAGAATGTTCGTCGAATAGTTCGTCGACAGATACCTGTTGCTCGTCGTCGATTAGATCGACAAATAACAGCAATGTGTTTTATACGTGTTATAGCTTTTGTTTGTTTGGCAGCACCTTATTGTTGTTATCGAATGTATGCTGTCAATAATCCTGTTTCACGAAGTGAACCATTAGAATTTGCAATTAGACAATTAGTTCAAGTTATTTTTGCGTCTCTTGCATCTCTTAACTTTGGGGTAAACTTTAACTTTTTTCATATTCACATTTCTGATTGTTTTTATTTGTATTATAGATCAGTTTTTATCTTTTTATTATATCATCATCACGTTTTCGTCATCAAGTGAAATTTGTACTAGTAAAAAAATGTTGGAAACGATGCACATATTTATGTGGCTTTGGAAATATTCAAAGTACTGCAGAAAATATAAAACTAAACAATTTAAATATAGAACCAAACAATTTGAATATGGAACTTGAAGAAATGACTAACCTTACTTCGCATCAATAAATAAATTTTTTCCGGTCTCATTTTAAAAATTACACTAAACTATACAAATATATCATTTTCAATAAAATATAAGTATCTAAAAGGTATTTATATTGTATATCTAAATTTAATTCCCATGCATTGCATGATAGTGATTAACATAAGATATTTATTGTCTTTCGAAATTAATGTGAAATGCAAAATCATTAATATGCACTTAACTGTAAAGCTATGGGGATGGAAAAGAATGACGCATATAAAGGAATAACAATTTCACTTTATTTATAATGTACATTATTGATGTAATGTGACTTTTCTCTTATAATAATATATTCTAAGGTTTTAAGTGTAATGTAGCAATCTACATTTTTTATATGAATGTTAAAAAAATCCAGTGATGAAAGATAACTTTTTTGGGCGATTGTTGGTATCAAAAAAGAAAGTGATGAGTCATTGTTAAACCTTAATGTACAAATTATTTCTAATTATGTCTCATAGTTTTATTGCCTTTGTTAAATATAAATCGATCTATTAATATTAAGATGACGTTAGCTTTTTTGATTAGGACACTCAGTACAATTTTGTTTAAAGAACTTCATGTGTTGAACATAAATTAGTCAGAATTAATAATAAACGAGTCAGTTTAGTAATTCACAAGAGATTTAATGATATGCAAGTTGTCAGAAGTGCTTTATCAAGTACATTACCGAACAATAATGGTACTCATACAATTACTAGTGTTAGTAAAGGAATTGATTTTAATCTTGTATTAGAAATGAACGACTAAAAGAATTATAATGAGATTAATTCTATTCTGGAAAAGCTCTGTAAATATTTTATTGACCCTTACCCATCTTTCTTATCAACAGAAGATCAACAAACAATCGATATTTTGAAGTTAAATATATTTATACAAAATGCAAAACTTCGGTCATTTGCAAAAACTAACAATTTAAGTGATGGTTGACAAAATACTGAAGGATATATTCTTGGGAATAGAAATAGTATTCCATTATCTTACGTATTACATCCTGTAAAATGTATCTATTATGGTGATTGAAATAAAGAAGTGCAATACTTACCACTTGATCCTTTGATCGTCAAGAAAATTGAACAAAAAAATACTTCCACTATCTTCTATTTAGTTTATTTGAACACATTCAGTGCCACTTATCTAAAATAATTATTCAATTTCGTCTTAAAAGTCTAAACCTATCGTTACTTGAAATAGAAGTAAATAATATAGATGACGATTTGTCCGCGACTATTTGATCTGCGACATTCTGTCCGGTCACCGTATCGATATCGAGTTGTTTGTTTTAAACTGCTGTTTAAAATGAGTTTTGAATTTTAGATGCTCATATATCATTATTCGTTTCGTATACAATCCATTTAAATAGATAGGATAAAAATCAGACTAAATTCCCTTAAAAAAAGGATTAAACATCGGTTGTAAGAACACGATTTTAATCGAAAATAACCGAAAAACTAAATTTTTTTGATTACTACGATGAATTGTGATTATTATCAATTGAAAGTTCATGAAAAAAATTGATTATAATTGATAAAAATGGGTTTTAATTTGTTCATTTTGTTTGGGGCCGATGTCAATTAAAATCAATTTTTTGCACCAACTGCTAATCGAGTTTGATTCCAGTTCATTGTATCAATAATGAATGAAATTTTGACCTTTCCGATTATTTTTCATTAAAAATCGATTAGAAGCGTATGATTGCAAAAGATTTTTAAATCTTTTAAAAACAAGAGACTAAAAATAGCTCTGAGTATACGTAAAGAAAAATTAGGTGTACTTGATTCGAAATACATGCGTTCTGGTTTTATCTTAAAAAACCAAAGTTGAAAGACTTTTTTTTGAGCACGAAGTTTTATTTTTTCTTCATCTATTTTTTGACTATTTTCAACCAGTATTTCTAGGTGACACTTTCAGTTCATGTTTACATCAATTAAATACAATTCAATATTGTTTTAATATAGTCATGGAAGTTATTATAAAAACCATTCGACTGTGTTTTCCTTCAAGGCACTTTTTTAATTAAACGACTTTAATCTTTTTTTTTTAATACTTAGTGGCCTAAAGAACTCCTAGTCAAAGTTGAATTTGTTTACATAAACAAATCTTTTTAGATAAACAGAGATTATAGAAGTATTTTAATACGCAATAACTAGTTATTTTAAAAGAAGTTTGTACTAATATTCATACACATTTCTCCAGCAATCATCATAAGCTTCAGAATTCATTCAGCGTGATATCAATAATAAATTTGTTCTTAAGTATCTCTTTTAAATGATGATTATATTTTACAATTAACAGAGAGATGAGAGAAATGTACTCTCGTCTGTTCTCAACGAGATTAACATAAGAAATAATAATAAATACTATTGCATACAGGTGTTTTTAAAAATGACAAGTCTTTTATTTATATCATAGAGCAATTCTTGTCGTTGTTTTTACCAGTTGATACTGGAAAATAATGTCGTATTTCTCTCCCTAATACTGAATAGTGACTTATTCAAGCACATACTGTATATCGTTTTAGCAAATATAAAATTTATGTTTAGTTATCAAAACACTTTTTGAAATCGCATAAAAACTTTAGTATATGATATAAATATTGATTTATTTGTATCAACTTATATAATTAGACATATATCTTGTTCTTTTTTCAAAAATTTTCTAAGTAACTCATAAAATAAATTAAAATCTAATATCTCCAAAGATTCTTTTCACTCTATCGAATTTAAATGTTGCCTCGAAGTATATATCAGTTTATTAATAGTTCTATATTTAAACTAGCCAATAGAATAAAACGAAACACTATTTTTTTTATTTTATATCTCATTATAATATTTAAATAACACGCATCATAGAAGAACCATTGAACGATACACAAGCTTTTATTTATAACAATATTTTAGTATAGTTGTCAATGTCCGCACAGTTACTTGATGTCGCTTCAAAATATTCACTTTACAGTGGCACTATTATATGTTCATTAGGAATTGTCGGTAATGTATTAAATATTCTTGTTTTTACTCAACTAAAACCTTTTCGAAACAATCGATGTGCTTTTTATTTAACTGTGGAATCCATTTCCAACATTTTTTATCTCTTATTCTCACTTACCATATATATATTAATATCAATGTATGGAAATGATGGAACAGGAAGTTCACTCACCTGGTGTAAACTTAGATATACCATTGCTCAAACATTTGTTCTCATCACATTCACTATGATATGTTGTACTGCAGCTGATGAATACTTTTCAACAAATTATCTTTACAATATAAGATATATATGTACACTGAAATTATCTCGATATCTTACATGTGTATTTATTTGTATCTGGATCACTCATAGTATTATACAAACTTTCTTTTACAATATTGTGCCATCTCTTGGATGTGCAATAGCAAATGATATCTATGTACGATATGCAACATACTTTACATATCCAGTTTTGACTGGTCTTTTACCAATTGTAATTTCATTGTTGTTTAGTTTATTTGCTTACCAAAATGTTCGTCGAATAGTTCGTCGACAAATACCTGTTGCTCGTCGTCGATTAGATCGACAAATAACAGCAATGTGTTTTATACGTGTCTTATCTTTTGCTTGTTTGGCAACACCTTATTGTTGTTATCGAATATATGCTGTCAATAATCCTGTTTCACGAAGTGAACCATTAGAATTTGCAATTAGACAATTAGTTCAAGTTATTTTTGCGTCTCTTGCATCCCTTAACTTTGGAGTAAGCTATCTTTTTTTATATTCACATTTCTGATTGTTTTTATTTGTATTATAGATCAGTTTTTATCTTTTTATTATATCATCATCACAGTTTCGTCGTCAGGTAAAATTTGTACTAGTAAAAAAATGTTGGAACCGATGGAAAACTCTCTGTTGCTTTCGAAACAATCAAATTGCTCCGGAAAATATAGAAGTAAACAATTTGAATATGGTAATTGAAGAAATTAACTAATCACGCTTTGAATAAATAAATGAATTTGTTGTTCTTTTATTTTAAAAATTACACTAAACTGTATAATTATGTCATCTTTAATAAAATATAAGTATCTAAAAGGTATTCATATTATATATCCAAATTTAATTCGCATGTATTGCATGATAAACTATGAGGATGAAAAGAATAACAAGTTATCTATGTTAAAAAATAAAAACATGCAATTAATTTCTATTGTTATTTTCGCATGTTTGTGTCTTTTTTTTATACAGAAATCATTTATATACATTTATTAAATCTGTTGAACATTCGATGAGTTTATTTTTTCAAACTAATTAATAATTGACAATAACATATGTTATATTGAATTTAGAGTAAGAAACTAACTCCATCTGTCGATGATAAAACTTTTATTGGTTAGAATTGATTGACCATTGGTCGTTGTTCTTTCTCTCCTCCGCTTCGTTCGGGAGTAAAGGATAAACGTCGGAAAATGGCCGCCGTTGTTCTTCTTTGTTTTCTTAAGTGAATCTCTCTGTTTATATCGAACTAATCGCATGGTTCAATGATTTTTCTCTTTTCTTTCTAGATATTCTCTCTTGTTCTATTATTAATTTTCTTTTAATATTTGTTTTTTTTGTTGCAAATGAGAAAAAAATGAGGCTCATGTGAACAGTGTAAGTCATTTCATATACATATATAATTCTCTTCTAAATATCTTAATTTTATTTTAATTAGGGTGGTAGTATATATTGATTTAGATATCCACCACTATTACATGTAATTGTCATATGATATAATTAACTATTTTTGTTTTGTGTGTGTTTTTTTTCTCCAAATTATCAATGACTTCTTCTTCGACTTGTATCCCAATTTGTTTATTTTGTAATTGTCCAACATCCTGTAGTCTTGGTCAAGGTGATTTAATTTTAATTCGTTCTCCGTCGGATCAATCCCAATCAATAATTAATTCTACACCTCGGCATCTCGAGTAAATTAAAATAATAATTTATAGAAAAAAAAATAATTCAATCAACTTTTTCTTTCTATTTAGCGATATTCCAATTGAAAAAAGACATAATTTTATATTAGAAACTGGAAAAATTATTGTTCCAGTTGATTCAGAATTATTTAATGTTGGTTTTCAATCATCGTCATATTGTATACCTAATGGAGATTTTTGGGTACATGAACGATGTTTAAAATGGTCATTAACAGATGCTGATAAAATAAATGATCAAGATATTATTCGTAACACAGTTATAAATGCATCTAAACAGGTAAATAATTGTAATAAAACTTATCCTACGGCTATGAATTATTATTATTTACATTATAAAGAACTAATTGTCTGCTATATTTTATAGAAATGTACAATATGTGATCGTTATGGGGCATCACTTTCATGTCGAAATGATATATGTTCATCGAAATTTCATTTACCATGTGCACAATCATCGGGCTGTTTTTTTTCTCATTCTCAATCTGCATTACTTTGTCCACAACATTTGGATTCAGTTGTTTCAATTTGTAAGATTATCTACATTTATGTAATTCATATATAGAATACGTATTCTTTTTAATTTTATTCAAGTTGATGTTGAATCATCATCATGTGAAGCATGTTCAGAACCAGGTGATGTACGTGGACAATTATTTTGTACAAATTGTGATAAACATTATCATGCTGAATGTCTTATACTTGAAGCAAATCGTGTTGTACGAACAGGTTGGCGTTGTCCTGATTGTAAAATATGTCAAACATGTCGACAATCAAGTGATGATGCTGAAATGATTATGTGTAATGTATGTGATAAAGGTTATCATACATTTTGTTTACGTAATCAATCAATACCAAAAGATGGTTGGAGTTGTTCAAGTTGTTTATCATTAACAAAGAAAAATTCATCAACAAAAGATTTATGTTCATTATGTCAAAATGAAATTTTATCAAAACAAAATATTCGACAATGTCAATCATGTCAAATACGTATACATTCAACATGTCATTCATTAAATGATGATTATTATGATGATGATACATCATATATATGTCGAACATGTTCAATATCATCATCAACAACAACAATACCTATGGATGAAGGTGATGATGATGATGAACTTAATAATAAAGAAATTTATCGTTCATCATCAAGTTTAAAAACAAATAGATTTATTATTAAATCACAAAAATCAAGTGTAAGTACTATTATTTCGTATGGAGATTTCCGTCTTATGAGTCGTTTTGTCTTTATTAATAATCTATACATTAATTGAATATTATTTTTATATAGAATTCACCCATTGTTTCACCGGGAAGTGGTATATCTACTCGTAAACGTCGTAGTATTGATTATAGTCAACAATCATCACTTGAATATACACCAGGTGGTGGTGATAGTAGTGAAATGACATCATCAACAACAAATATAAATCAACAAGAAACACCGTTAATATTTGAATCATTATCTAGTATAAAAGATGAATCATCTGAACATTCAATGGATTTACCAATGACAACAACAATTAATATACCAATAAAACAAGAAGATGATGATCAACCTATATTTCAACAACCAATAAAATCTTTACGTACACAAACAAGTCAAAAATCTGGAAAAGGAAAACCAGTTTTCGAAAATCGTACTTATGGAGGCGAAATTAGTAAAAAACGAGCAAGACGGGTAAATATTCATTTGATATATATATGCCAGGCGAAATTAGTTTACAGTTATGCGTGAAATGAAGAAATTATTTTTATTTATCAGAAAAGAAATATTATTTATTTTTCTGTTACCTAAGTTCACGAATAACTTTCTCGGTAGTGACATTAGAATGGCTAGGGTAATAATTGAGAAATCTTGTATCGTAGATAGTTAAACTAGATTCATTAATCGAATAATATTTCATTGCCTTGTGAATAAATTATATTAGCGAGCTCGATATCTTTCTGAAATGAATACGATTTGAATAATATCATATAAGACTAGGTTTAATTTTGCCTAATTCTAAATAATTATTTATTTAATAGACGTTAAATAATGGTCATCGTCGTGCTTCGTCACCTCAATCATCGTTAGGTATGACTCAAACAACGACTACAAATCAACCACGTACTGGTACAACGACAGGTACTGGTTGTCGAGGTAGACCACCAAAAATTCGTAAAGATATTCCTGTACAATCATCAGTAATTATATTTGTTTTGTTTTTGATTCTTTAAATTTCTTATTTTCATTTTAAAATATTAGACTATTGATGAAACATCAACAATACAAATGAATGTATTAAATACAAGTGGTGCTAGTACGGGTAGTTCATATACAGTTGGAGCTGTTAAACGTGATGATGATGAACATCATGCTGTTACTGTTCTATGTGCATCCGATGAATTATATACATTAGGACAAGATATGTGTGTTAGTTGTGGTAGTTTTGGTTTAGACGAAGAAGGACGTTTAATTTCATGTACACAATGTGGACAATCTTATCATTCATATTGTGCTGGATTAAATAAAGTAAATTGAAACCTTAACGATTTTGAATATAATTATAATCTATTGATTGATATTTTTAGTTATCAAAAGTTATATTAAAACAAGGTTGGCGTTGTCTAGATTGTACTGTATGTGAAGGTTGTGGTAAACCAACGGATGAATCTCGTTTATTATTATGTGATGATTGTGATATATCATATCATACATATTGTCTTCAACCACCACTTGATCAAGTTCCCAAAGGCAACTGGAAATGTCAATGGTATGTATAATAAAATGTTTGATCGAATGGTTAAAATACATTGAAAAGTAAAGGTTCAAGGTTCGAATCTCATTGCCGGCCTCACATCCTATGGAGGGCACAGTCTTCTTTAATAGATGGCTCTCTACCTTTAGTGAGGAATAATAGATACATTCTGCATTCTTCGGAGGCCTTCAGTTAATTAGGAAGGTTATACTCTTCCTCAAGTGTAGAAACAACTTTTTTTTTTTTATATAATCATTTTATTTTATGTCTCTCTCTGTTAAGGTGTGTTCGTTGTGTTAAATGTGGTTCAACAAATCCAGGTCCAACTGGTTCATGTTGTTTATGGGAAAATAATTATACAGAATGTGCACCATGTCATTCACTTGTTATTTGTCCTGTTTGTTCAAAACCTTATCGAACAGATGAACTTATTGTTCAATGTACATTATGTGATCGTTGGTTGCATGGTTCATGTGAACATATTCTAACTGAAGATTCAACATTATCAACAACAGGTGATTTTATTTGTTCATTATGTCGACCAACAGCAATATTAACATCAGCAAATGAAACACTTCAATCATCAACATCACCAAAATCATCATCACCATCTGATCAAGCACCATTATTAGTTGTTGCAACAAATTTATCAACATCCAATCAACTAAATACATTACAATCACAATTACCAACACCAAAAGCAACAAAATTAGATGAAGGTGTTTATTTAACTGATACTGGTTTAGCACAATTAAAATCTATACGTGTTAAACCATTACCTAAAAAAGCAGCAGCTGCAATAGCTATAACAACAAATACAAAATCTAAACGTGGTGGTTTAGCTAATTATATTATGGGTGGTATTAAACGAAATAATTCAAATTCAATACAAGATGATGATATGTTAGGTAATAGTGCAACAGGTGGTGGAAGTGGTACAAGTGATGATGAAGGAACCAAAAAAGCAACTGCTACAGTACCAATCGCTAGAGCAGCAAAAGGTTATAATGGTAAGAGTAATTTTTGTTTTTTTATTATTTGTATGATAATAATTTTTTTCTTCATATATAAAAGGTATTGGTGGTTTTCATGTTAAAATTCGTGGTCAACGTCGTCGTCAAGATCCATCATCATCCACAACTGATCTACCACAAGATGATAATTTTCATGATGAATCATCATCAACAAATAAACGTAAACGTGATCGTCGACCATTAAAAAAGAAGAGTGTTTTAGAAGAACATATGCCACCGGAAATGCAAGAAGCATTCTTTGGTAGTGATCTTGCTGAAAAAAGTCGTTTAATGGCTCAACATCATATTCCGTTTGTACCATTACAATTAAATGATCAATCAACAACAACTATAAATAATAATAATGAATATACAATAAAATTAGATCATGATACAGTTAATCGTTTTTTAATAAAAAAAGCTACGAAATTAGCATTAGCTGTTAAAGAAGAACAACGACAACCACCACCAATTGTACCTGTACCTACACCAACAAATCCGATTCAACCACCGACTATAACACCAGCTGATGATGAAAATGATATGCGTAAGAGAATTAAAAGTTTTTTTTTTATATAAAAAATTTTTGTCTGTTTTTGTAGAAGCTATTTTAGATAATGAAGAATTTTGTAATTTTGTTGAATATATGATGAATACTTCTAAAGCAACACAAGATCCAATGTTACCACTATGTAAATTATTTTCAAAAAACTAATTTTTTTTTTAAATTAAACTTTATTTATTTATTTAGGTGGTCCAACAGATATTGAAGATTTTCTTGAATTTATTGAACATCCTGAAACTCATAATGATTTACAAGGTAGATAAGAAAAATAATAAAATTTCAGTTAGTTTTTATTAATTTTTATTTAGCTGTTGATCTTCTTAATAATGCTAATTCAACTAATCAAAATTCATCAATAACAACTACAAATAATTCTGTTCAAGTTATACAATCTCATCAAACAACAATGATAACATCAACATCATCATCTCATCATTCAGCTAATTCTCAAGTACCATTACAAACACCAACATCAAATCTTGTTGTTATGGCAACTAATGTTAATGATAATTCAAAACAAATTATTAATAATTTAGCAAGAGAAATGATGGAATCAACTGGTTTACATACAACAAATACTGCATCAATTTTATCACAAACAAATATCACAAATACGGGTCTTATTGTTAAACAAGAGTACGTACACCTATTTTCTTTCGTCGAAGTATTTCTATGACTGACAGATTTTTATCTCATATATCTTAAACTTTTATCATTATCCTTTTTGAAATTTTCATAGATTTCATGAACATTCACATCAACAAAGTCAAATGATAATTCCTCCACAACAACAACCCCAGCAACAACCGACTTGGCCTCAACAACAAACGATGATACGTATGCCATTAATACCATCTACACCTGTATCCTTACCGGCTAGTACTACTCCAACACAAGATCGATCTGGACCATCAACTGCTGAACATACAAATCTAATGGATCGAACACGTGAAGATGAATTATTAGGAGCAAATGCAACAATGTCAAATGTACTCTATTGTAATGTTAATCATCCTGATTTAAAACAACAATTTCCTGGTAAGATAATCATTCTCATTTATTATATATTTCGCTCTACAAAAAAAATGATTCATTTCAGTCTTTCATTATCTACCTCCGTGTGAGTAAAGTTTAGGGAAAGCGGAATATTATTTCATTATTTTATAATTTCTTTTTTCGTATTGGTTTCTTGTTGTTTCTTTAATAAAATAAATTTTGTTCTTAAGATTTTAATGAACGATTTAAACAAATGAAAAAAATCTGGCGTAAAGTTCCTACTGATGCAAAACAAAATTATACTCAACAAGCACGTCTTAATCGTACAAAACGACGTGTATTGAAAAGTACAAGTAGTCAATCATCAACAACTTCGAAAGGTACAAAACGGAAGAATTCTTCTAAACAACAATCAAGTGAACCTGAAGATAATAATAATGATGGAGGTGCTGGAAGTGAAAGTCGTTCATCAACACCATCATCATCAGCAACAAATGAAACAACAACTGTTGTTATTCATCCAAATGAACATCAAGAACTTCCAACAACACATATGTATCAACAACCAAGACAAATGTATTCACCTGGAAGTGGGAATTTAATGGTAACAACACCAAATACAGCACCTAATTTTCATCATCAACCTTATTCAACCCAACAACAAATGCAAAGACCACAACAACCAGGGTAAAATATTTTACTATTAGATATGACTTAGCGAAAAAATATGATAATAACATATTCAAATTCTTTTTTTATAGATATGGAACAGCAATTTCTGCTCCAGGTGGTTATCCTGCACCACAAAGATTTAATTTTCCACCTCAACAACAAGTTCCACCTCCACAACAACAACAATCTCAAAGTTCGCCATATTTTGAATATGCACCATCAACACCACGTTCTGTACCTCATCAATCATCATCAGCAGAATCAACACCTATTCTTCATTCTACGAATAATACAAATAATAATCCAATTCGAAAATCAAATTCATCATCTGATGCTAATACACCATATCATCATGTTTCACCAATGGATGAAACTTCTCCATATCATCAACAACAATCACCATATGCAAATCAAAATCAAATGAAACCGCAACCTCAACAACAACCACCACCACAACAGCAACAACAGCAACAATTATTACCACGTGGTATGGCACCAAGACCACAACAAATAATGCCTAGATTTTCACAGCAAGATACAACAAATTTCGTTCGTACACCATCATCTGTTGGTACACCTGTACAACCAACAAGATTTATATTTGCTTCTCCACCAAATCAACAAGTACAACAGCAACAACAACAAACTCATTATGTTCAATATGCACAACAAGTGCAAGGACAACATACAGTTGTTGTACAACAAGGAACTAATGAAGCATTTCAAAGAATGGTATGAAATTAAATTATTTATCTAAATAAATCTTTCTATATATATATTTTTAGCCTGAAAGTCCAGCTCATCAACATATGCAACAGCAACAACAACAAGTGCAGCAGCAGCAACAACATCATCAAGTATCTCCTCAATTTAGTCCTCACCATCGTCCAATGACACCAAATCCTCAACAACACCCAATGGCGATGCAACAACAACATCTTATGTCACCATATTCATCTCAACAACAATCAATGCATCATCCACATCCTCAAACAACTCAACACTCACCAACCATTGTTGTTCAACCAACATCACAATTTTCTCCATCATCAGTACATCATCATCAATTAGCATTAACAACAACGGGTCATCAATCACCACCACAAGATCCAAATAAACGACAAATACAAATGCAAAAACCACCTCAACAACTATTAGTTAAACATGAACCCATGTCTTTTGATGAACCACAAATCAAAATTGAAGCACATGATGATCCCTTAAATGAATCAATAAATACAGCCAAAATTCGAGCTGATCCATTACTATGTACGTTAATAGTTGAAATAAACATTTTTAATATACAATTACATTGAACTAATTAGATAAAAAGCTAGGAATCCGTATACGAACTAAAATCGCATTACAGACTTACAGTACTTTCTTGATAATCAGTAAGAAAATGAAATTCGAGAAGGAGATACAATTAACTTATTGATAAGATTTCTTTTCGATTGCGACTTAAAAATGCTTTCTTAATAATTGTTTCAAAAGAAACCTTTAAACTAATATTAAGATAAGCCACTCAATTAATATCCTTTAAAATCATTTCAATTAACAAAAAGAAAATTCTCTTTTTTTATCATTTAAGCTGTACCACCACATGTTCTCGAACAAATTGATGAAGTAATAAATGATGTTGTCTCCGGTGCTGGTGTTATTACTCAAGAACTTCCAACTACTACTCATGCTCCATCAATACCTATTCAAATAGTTCCATTAACTCAACCAAAAATTCAACCTCAACATATGATTACAACTCATCATCCTTATGTTCAACAACAACAACAACAATCATTACCACCACCTCCACCACCACCACAATCACATGAATGGTCAAATTATCAACAACAACCAACATTAAATATTGCTGCTATGCGTGGTCCACCATCCTATTCACATTATCATTCTCAACAACAACAACATCATCATGATCTATTACCAGCAACAACAAATGTTATTAATACAGCAGGTGTACCACAACATGAACAACAACAAATTGTTGCTGAACGTATATCATCTATCTTAGCATCATCACCACATGAACAACAACAAACAAGTGTAACACAAGCACCTATACAAATAAAACGTGCATGGCCAATGAATCAACATCAACAACCAGATAATCATTTTCTTAGTACGTTAAACTAATCTAATTTATTTTTCTTTCATATCTAATAAAAAATAAAAGAACAGATCTATTTCCACATTCAACAATAATGACAATCGCTGTAAATGGCGATGGTGAGTTTAAAGTAATAAAAAACTATAAGTTGACCAAAACATTTAGTTAGCTATTTGCTCATGCTGCTAAATCGAACAAAAATTTACTCACTATTCTTCTTTATTGCCATTTGCTTTAGCATGACATCGTATCTAAAATATAAATATGGGAAACGAACAAAAAAAGAAAACTATTTTTTCTGACTTCAATCTTTTATTCGTTTTTTTTCTCCATATTTAGCTACAACGTCTACGGATCCATCAATTTCACTTGAAGATTTACTTGAACGAGACTTTAAAGATAAACAACAACAGCAACAACAGCAGCAGCAACAGCAACAACAACAATCATCAGTTGACTGGACAATTGAAAGTAATACAAAATCTTCAATAAATTCTACTACACAACAAGCACCATTAAGTCTTGCACATGCTGTTCATCTTCTTCAACAAGCTATAACACATGTATTATATAAACAATCTCCACCACCTGAATTAAGTGGTCTTGTTAGTATTGGACGTGATAATGATTTAACAAATATAAATGCAAATATAAATGAAGAACAATTTGAACGTTATGCACGATGGTTAAAACAACGTAGAGAAATAAATAATTTAAGAATAAAAGCAGATGAAACAAATTTAGCAGATATTAAAAAAAAGAGAAATATTTTACTTCGAAAACAAAAACAAGTGAGTAAAAAAAAGATAAAAGATTGAATTTTTTTCTCGGAATTTTATATAAATATTCAAAGAAGTTGAATAATCTATTATCAAATCGATCTCATCGAATATCTCCTAATTACTTGTATATAATAGACTTTGAATATTAATACTTGAGTAGTATGAATTGTATTAGAATTAGAAATGATTGTTTCTATTTTCTTATTTTAGTCATTATGTACACCTGAAGAAGAACAAGAAATGCCACGTTTATCTCAACAACAAACAGAATATTCACGTACATTAACAGCAATGCGTAAAGAAAGAAAACAATTTGATGAATTAGAACAAGCTTTTCAAGTTTATAAACAAAGTCGATTAAATACATTATATCCACCTAAATCATCACCTGAACAACAATCAGAAACGATTGCTCGGTAAATAGAAACTATTCTATCTTCTTAAATCTATTATTTTCTATTTAGTATGATGTCAATGACAAGTGTTCCTCAAACATCAATTCAACCATTACAACGTTTTCTTTCTGATACACCACTAACTGCAATGACATTTACTTCGTCATCGAATAATGTTTGTTATTAAAATATTATATCGATATATATATAAACGAATCAAATTCTATGTTCTAGGATGAACAAGATGATTTTACTAATGATGATCAAACATCATTATCACCATCAACTTCAACTGAACTACAACAAAAACAAACGACATATACACAACAAGAAAGTCAATCAATTAGTAATAATCTTTTTAATATTATCGAAATATCAGATTTTTATAATTCGATTAATTAATTAGATTCAACATTACCATCAATACATAGTTCATCATCACCATCATCTTCATTTTTAATACCAATGCAACCATCAACATCATCAAATAATGATCCATCAATGGATCATCATCATATGACAAGTAGTCCAAATCATGAAAATGATACAATACCATTTGAACCATGTCGAACATCACCTCATATACCAAATGAAGATGAATCCGTACTTGTATCTGCATCATCTATTGAATCGAATATTCAATCCAATGTTGTTGATGAGCTTGAGCAATGATCTTTGTTTTTCTTTTTTTTGTTTTCTTGAATTGTCTTGGTCTTTACCTTTTCTTTTCTTTTTTTTCTTTCTCTAATTTATGTATTTGTCTCATCACACAGTGAACAACAACTTGTCTTGTATAGAAAAAAAAAATTATTTGTTTGTCTTTGTTTTCTTTTTCATATTCATAAAAGTTAGCAACAATTCTTTTTTTTTTGTGTCTATTTCTTACTCGCAGTTTTTTCATTGGTTTCTTCATCGTCATAACACATAGACCATTCTCGTTTAATATATACTCATTTATTTACACAGATTGTCTCTTTTCCTTTAAGTACGATGAATGGAAAAATCTTTTTTTTTTGTTTTTTTTTTCTTCTTCTCTCTTTTTTCTTTTTGATTATTCAATAAACTTACACACAATTGTCTGCCTTGCAATTTATAACAGATTCATGTGTTTCAAAAAGAAAATTATGTTTTTATTTTTCGATGTTTTCTATCACTTTACAAAGACACGATGATCCATTCATTTATATAATTCAAAATACACTTTAACGAATTCATTTTTGTAAACAAAATAAATTAAACATATATTTTCATGTTAGATAATTATTAAGAAAAACTATAAATGTACATATTAATATATCGGTTAACCGTATGGTCGTGAAAGAAAAAATACAAAAATCTTATAATTTGCATATAGATCGAAAATAAATAAAAATGAAATTTTATTCTTTCTTTTTTTTTCAATTAATCATTTGTTATACTTACTTTCGTGTTCGAATAAGATTTAATACTAGGTGGAAAAAACATGATTTCTACTATCTTTCTATCGATGTGTCTATTTGGTAAGATTTTTTCAAGTGAAAAAACTTTATATTAAAAGAGAAACTAATATTTTAGTATTGATTCCAATAACAAATGGAATAAATTGTGTATCATGTGTTGGTTGGAGTAATTCAGGATGCAATGATCCTTATGATGAAGCAACATCAGGTGATCTTCCAGTTCCTGGTAATACCTATTGCTTAGTATGTCTTACCATTTTTATATTAAAATCTATTATTCATTTATTTTTTAATTTCTTTAGAAAGTAGTCTATCCAAGTTATATAGAACGTATGGCTGGCGGTCGATCTTGTACACCTGGAAGTGGTCCTGGTAATAGTATACGCTATTGTTGTTCAGATCAGGATTACTGTAATCGAATGATAAATCTCACCGGATGCCGAATTAATATTACCTTATTAATAATGTTTTTATTATTTGCTAAAATCAAATTGTTTCCGTGAACAATTCGATAAAAATTAACTGATATATATATAAACTTAGTTATGTGTGTGTTTTGCTTCTTTTTCATCATTGAATCAATAAATAAAATACTTGTTTGGTAGTACGTATATCAATTAGAATTATGGATCGAAACACTATAAATTTGTCCTTGACTGTTTCGTAAAACTATGACTAATGGATGTGACAAATTTACTCTATTTTTTTTTCTTGCGTTCTCTGTAAATCAACATGTGGTGTATACAGTAGCTATTTATTTGTTTTTAAAAAAACATCAATAGATTTTCAGATGAAAATTTTGATTATTGGTGCTTATGGAACATTTGGTAGTCGATTATCACAATTACTAGCTAATAAATCTCAACTGACATTATTCATAGCAGGTAGATCAATCAAACATGCTGAACAATTTTGTAAAACAATAGATAAAAATGTAGCAAAAATATTACCATTATATTTTGATCGAAATGATTTAGAAATTGAAAAACGTTTAAAATCAATTCAACCTGATATAGTTATTGATGCTACTGGTCCATTTCAATTCTATGGTAATGATCCATATCATGTTGTTAAAGCATGTTTAGCAACATCAACTAATTATATGGATTTAGCTGATGGAACACAATTTGTTAAAGATATTAATCAATTTGATAGTCAAGCTAAATCTAAAAATTTATTTCTACTTTCTGGTGTTAGTACATGTCCTGTATTAACAGCAACTGTCGTCCGATCTTTGACAAAAGGATTGCATGAAATACATTCAATTAAAGGTGGTATTGCGCCATCACCATACGTTAATATTGGTCCAAATGTAATACGCGCAATTACAAGTTATGCAGGTCAACCAATGTCAGTAGTTCGTCATCGTCAATTAATTATTCGTTATGGTTTGACGGAGACTATGCGATATACAATAAGTCCACCAGGTTATTTACCATTAAAGAATCGTCGTTTTTCATTAGTAGATGTACCTGATTATCAAATTTTAAGAGATTTATGGCCGAATATTAATTCAATATGGTTTGGTGCAGGAACAATACCAGAAAGTTTACATCGTTTACTAAATTATTTTGCATGGTTAGTTCGATTACGATTATTTCCTAATTTATCTTCATTCTCATCAATTATTCAACAAGTAATGAATATCATACGTTGGGGTGAACATCGTGGTGGTATGTTTATATCAATTGAGGGTATTAATAATCAAGGTCATATATATGAACGATCATGGCATTTAATAGCAGAAGGTGATATTGGTCCATTCATTCCTACATTAGGCATTGATGCTATTATTCATCGTATATTAGATGGTAAAATACCAATAAGTGGTGCTAGAGCTGCAACAACTGATCTTGAACTTGAAGATTACGACAATCTATTCAAAAAACTTGGTATTATTACAGGACAACGTGAATCAATAAATAAAACGAATACATCTTTGACTTTATATCAAAAACTACTTGATCAAGCATGGCATCAATTGCCATATTCTTTGCAAAGAATGCATAGCTATACAACTAATACTAAAGTTGCTGGAATTGCTAAAGTTGAACGTGGCACAAGTATTACATCGAAATTAATTGCTATGTTATTTCGATTTCCTCAAGCTGGACAAGAAATACCTGTTCAAGTCGTATTTCATCCTAATATTAAAGGAGAATTATGGACTCGAACATTTGCTGGAAGATCATTTTCAAGTTGGCAAATGGAAGGTCATGGTCGATCAGATAAACTATTAAATGAACGATTCGGTCCATTTACTTTTGGTTTAGCATTAGTAATTAATTCAGAAAAATTATATTTAATCGTTCAAAATTGGAGTTTTCTTGGTATTCCATTACCAAGTTTCTTAGCACCAAATGGAATTTCATATGAATATGATAATAATGGTCAATTCTGTTTTAATGTTGAAATCAAACATAGATTCACAGGATTAATTGTACGATATAGTGGTTGGTTAGAAAAAGCATAATAAATATTTGTAAAAGAAATTTAATGGTCATATGTCTTTTTTTTCTTCTTTTAATCAACATCCGTTTCTAAGAAAAAATAATATTTTATGTAGCTTGCACTAAACTATTTCTTTTATACAAAATATAAAACTATGGAAGTTTCAACTATTAAAGAATTAGTTAATACTGATTTAAATGAAAAAAGAATTCATAATGTATGTAATTTAAACATTTATAATAAATAAGAGATTTGATATTTTAGTTACGATCAAATACAAAAAGAACACTAGAGAAGTATTCAAATTTTATTTATATATAAAACTATAATAGTAAATTTTATATTTAGTACAAAAATTAGTAAACGTAAATATTTTCTAAAACGTATTGGATATTCAATAATTGGTTTGATAGTTATTGGAGCTATGCTTTCTCCAGTATTATATACTTTATTAAAAAACTCTAGTATCGATGTTTCAGAACCAGAAATATCAAAACCAGGTAGATAATTTTTTTTATTTCGATCTATTTATTTTTATAAAACTATTCCATAGTAACAAGTCCAATACTAACAAAAACAACCAGGAAAGTTACTGTATCAACAACAACAGCACCACCATTTGGTAAGTAAGAAGTCTTCATCTTCATCTTCATCTTCTTCTATTTTAATACATTTTTCTTTCTATGACATATTAGATCAGTGTACGAGAGAATATTCTGTATTAACAAAAGATACTGGTAGTTTTATTTCATCAGTAATCACAGCTGATCTTAATAATGATAATAAAATCGATATTGTCTTTATCCAAGAATCATATGTATTCGTTTCGATTCTTTTCAACTTGGGGAATAATAAGTTTACTGATAAAAAACTTTATGAACTTCAACAATTTGTATTATCTCTGGCAACAGGAGATATTAATGATGATGGTTATGTAGATATTATTGTTGGTCAATCATATTCTACGATAGCTATTCTTTGGAATGATGGTCATGGTATATTTAATGATATATGGTATTCACCATCGGAACACTTTATCACTACTATATACTCAATAGCAATAGCTGATATGAATAATGATGAAAAATATGATATTATTGTAACAGGTTCAAGCGGTATTCAGCTCAGTATTTTTTACAATAAAGGTAATAAAATATTTACTGATGCAATCGTCTATCCAGCTGGTAATCAACCTATGTCTGTAACAGTTGCTGATCTTAATGATGATAATAAACTTGAGATTATTATTGCATATGCAAGAACAAATACAATCGGCATTCATTTCGATAATGGGAATGAAGATTTTTCTAAACAAATTACTTATTCAGTTGGTTATGGACCAATATATGTTACAGTTGGTAATATTAATAATGATACTAAACTTGATATTATTGTAGTAAATTTTTTTTCAAATAAAATTAATATTCTTCTTAATAATAATGGTATATTTAATAATCAAACAACATTATCAAACATGGTTAATCCAGTATTCGTCGCATTAACTGATTATAATAATGATGGTACAAATGATATTATTGTTCCAAATTTTCATTCAAATTATGTTAGTGTATTTTTTAATGATGGATACGGTACGTTTAGTATGCCAGTTAACTATACAACTTATCCTTCACCACGATGTGCATCAATAGCTGATCTTAATGATGATAAAAAACCTGATATTATTATTGGCACTGAAAAATATATTGGCGTTATTTTTACGGAATGCGATTAATTAACTACTAACTATTTTTTTTTTCAAAATAAATAGCTCAGTTTAATATACTGGCAAAGTTAAAATATAAACTACTTATAACGTGACAGGAACGATAAATATTTACATAAACTTTCTGTGCAGACTTCAAGATCATATTCTATTTAAAAAATCGCTGAAAGCGTTGGCGTCTATATATAATCTGATGTTATATATAACACATACCCCAATCATAAAAGATATCGAATGCACGTGATGCTGATTTTCAGCACCTATTATTTGAAATTGAATCCTTTCAAGGACAATCGTAATTGCAAAATACTAATCCTATATTTTTAGAAAAAAATAAAAAAATATTTTTCTCGTGCTACATGTATATATATAAACTAGCGATTGTCCGTCTATTCAATATCAGTAATCTATTCAAACAATCATGTTCGCATTGTTACTTCTCACAGTTGTCATGCTTTGTGCTCAACAATCGAGTGCAAGTAAGTTATACTAATATTAGATTATTTTTAAAAATTTATTTATTTTCTTCTATAGTAATCACTGCTGAACAACTCAAAGCAATTATGCCCAAATGCAAGCATCCAGAATATTTAAATAATATCAATGATGCTCTTGTTGAAGGTTCAATCAATACATGCTTACGTCAATCTGCTTTTTTGGCACAATTAGCACATGAATCTGGTCAATTAGTATATATGGAAGAAATAGCATCAGGTGAAGCATATGAAAATCGTACAGATTTAGGTAATACACAACCTGGTGATGGAAAACGATTCAAAGGTCGAGGACCAATTCAACTTACTGGTCGTGATAATTATGCTGCAGCTGGAAAAGCATTAGGTCTTGATCTTGTTAATAATCCCGATCAAGTCAAAACACCTTATGTTGGCTTTCGTACAAGTGTCTGGTTTTGGACAAATCGTCAATTAAATGCTCTTGCTGATCAAGGTACATTAGATTCATTCCGACAAATTACAAAAAAAGTTAATGGAGGAACAAATGGACAAGCTGATCGTGAGCAATATTGGGCAAAGGCTAAGAATGTATTAGGTTGCGATGATGGTTCAATCAGTATTACTTTACCAACATGTACGGCTAATGGAGTATCAGGTGTTTGTATGTCCACAACTAATTGTAAAGGTCGTTCTGTTGCAGGACATTGTTCTGGTCCTAAAGATATTCAATGTTGTATTTGAGATTAATTAAAATAAACTTCATCTGTTACAATACAGATTTCAAGAAATCAAGCACATTCATATACAATAACTGATAGTTAGTTTTATAATTAAGAAAAAATATATATTGTGTACTCTAGTCGTTTGATGATTTTATCATAACATACATTGATGAAAAAACGAGAGAACGAATGACAAACTTTTGTGACCTATATATATTCTTTAACAAAAAAAAACCTTCATTTCTTCTACACCTTGAATATATTTAAGTAAACCGAACTTTGTCTTTGCCATTGACATATATTGTTAATTATCATCATACTGATCTTCTAAGTAAAGTATTGTAAAGATGAATGCATATCTATTTTTTTCAATAATCATTTAAATAAAAATCACTTGTTAACAGAAAATAATCGAATATTTCTGTTTATTACTCGTCATTTTCTTACATTCTATATCGACACCTGATAAAATGTTATTCTTATTTAACTCAACGTTTTTTTGTCTTTTTCTTTTTCTTTTCTTCTTTTCTTTCACATGATAAAAGTAAGATAAATGTTGTTAACTATTATTCTTGCTTGTATCGGTGGTTTAGCATTATTAACTATTTTAATTTATCTTTATCGTCCATTATATCATCCAAAATATCTTACTGATTTATATGATTGTCATGTAGTTATAACAGGTGGATCAAGTGGTATTGGAAAAGAATTAGCACGATTATTTCTTCATGAATATGGAGCACGTGTAACTATATTAGCACGAAATAGTGATCGTCTTGAGGAATGTCGAAGAGAATTATCACCAAATTTAAGTGAACGTCTTTTATGTTTATCTGTAGACATATCTCAATCATATACACAAGTTGAAAATGCTATTCAACATTCTATTCGTCATCATCATGACAAACCAGTAGATATTCTAATAAATAATGCAGCTATTTTTTATGCTAGATCATTTCATCAAACTAAACCAGAAGAATTTGAAGAGATGAGTAAGATGAATTTGATAAGAAAAGAAAAAAAAAGAAAAATCTAAATAAATTTCAATTTATTTTAGTTCGAATTAATTATTTAGGTAGTATTTATTGTACACAAGCATGTTTACCATCTATGCGTGTACGTGGTTCAGGTCGAATTGTATTTGTATCATCACAAGCTGGACAATTAGGTGTTTTTGGTTATACATCATATTGTTCAACAAAATTTGCATTAAAAGGTTTAGCTGAATCACTTCAAATGGAATTAGCACGTGAAAATATTTATATAACATTAGTTTTTCCACCTGATACAGATACACCGGGTTTTAAAGAAGAAAATAAAACAAAACCAAAAGAAACACAAATGATTAATGAAACATCAGGTGTTCTAAGAGCTGATCAAGTAGCAAAGAAAATTATTCAAGCCACAAGAAAAGGTTCATTTACATGTTCATATGGTTTAAATGGATTTTTATTAACTTGTTTAACATGTGGTGCACAACCAGTTACTACACTTCATGAAATTATTTATCAATCATTATTTACTGGTTTATTAAGATTAATTATGTTACGAGTATTAAATTCATTTTATAAATTAGTTAGAAAAAATAAACAAATACCATAAACGAATAAGAATTTCAATGATTTATCATAGATTGGGTTTTTTTTACATTAATTTATAATAAAAATTGTTTGACAAAAAAGAAAGTTTTATAAATAATAAATAAATATGAGATAGCATTAAAATCGTTTTTTTTTATTGTCTCTATGATATAAATTCATTTTTACATGAAAGTATATAGGCTACAATGATATGAGTTATAGTATATTTTGTGATATTTGATAATATAAAACTTCGCAACCAAATATCATAAACTCTTCTTATGTATTCTTTCGATACCCAAATTTCCGTACTAGCATATGATTTTGATTCATATAATTTAAATATTGGGAAACCTCTACTTAATCAAACAGACAGTATTTTACTCTAATAAACATACAGAGAATAACAATTGACAGAACCACATATTTAGGGGAAAAAATAATCTACTTTTGAGCATTTAAAGAAGTATTCATTGGTCAGCAATATGATTAAAAACAGTTTTCGTCATCTATTACGAAATATTTATTAGCATATACAACTA